TTCCCGGTGTTCCCGCTGACCTCGTCGTTGAGCCAGTTGAGGTTGTTGAGGGTCTGGATGTCCTTGCGGGTGATGGTCAGCCGGAAAGCCTCGCTCAGCACCTCGTCCTGGTTCCCGCCCCGGAACACGCTCTTGATCTCCTTCTCCATCTCCTGGGGGAGCACCCGGAGCTGGGAAGGGCCATTCCCGACCCTCCAGCCCAGCCCCAAGGCTCCAACCCAACCCATCCAAGGGTTCTCCTTCTCCTTCTCCATCTCCTGGGGGAGCACCCGGCTCTGGGAATGGCCATTCCCGACCCTCTGGCCCAGCCCAAGGCTCCAACCCAACTGATCCAAGGGTTCTTCATCTCCAGATCTGGGAATGGCCATTCCCAACCCTCCAGCCCAGCCCCGAGGCTCCAACCCAACCCATCCAAGGGTTCTCCTTCTCCATCTCCTGGGGGAGCACCCGGATCTGGGAAGGGCCATTCCCAACCCATCCAAGGGTTCTCCATCTCCTGGGGGAGCACCCAGATCTGGGAATGGTCATTCCCGACCCTCCAGCCCAGCCCCAAGGCTCCAACCCAACCCATCCAAGGGTTCTCCTTCTCCATCTCCTGCAGGAGCACCCAGATCTGGGAAGGGCCCTTCCCGTCCCTCTGGCCCAGCCCCAAGGCTCCCAGTGATCCCAGGGGGATCCAAACCAGGCTGGGGAAAAGGAACTGAACGTGGAACAAGGCAGGGAATTCCTGGGCTCAACCCAACTGATCCCAGGAGGATCCAAACCAGGCTGGGGAAAAGGAACCGAACGTGGAACTTTGGCGAGGAGAATTCCTGCTTTTCCACCCACACCCAACCGATCCCAGGGGGATCCAAACTGGGTGCTGTCCCTAAATCCCTGTGTGGGTGTGTCACCAACCTCAGTGATCTCTGGGAACTCCTCCTCTCCCTCGGGGCCCTTGGAATCCTCCTCCTTCTCCTCCGGCCCCACCGTCACCGGGATCTCCTTCTCCAGAGGCACCCGCAGGTTGAGATCCACCCGCTCCGGCACCGCCTGCTCCCGCTCCTGCAGCCTCTGGAGACAGCCGGGGGCGAGGGATGCAGGGATCCACCCAGGGATTGAGGGATCCACCCAGGGATTGAGGGATCCACCCAGGGATTGAGGGATCCACCCAGGGACCGAGGGATCCACCCAGGGATTCAGGGATCCACCCAGGGATCCAGGGATTCACCCAGGGACAGAGGGACTCAGGGATCCACCCAGGGGTCGAGGGATCCACCCAGGGACAGAGGGATTGAGGGACCCACCCAGGGATTCAGGGATCCACCCAGGGACAGAGGGATTCAGGGACCCTCCCAGGGATTGAGGGATTCAGGGACCCTCCCAGGGATTGAGGGATTCAGGGGCCCACCCAGGGATCGAGGGATTCAGGGATCCACCCAGGGATCGAGGGATCAAGGGATCCACCCAGGGATCGAGGGATTCAGGGATCGATCCAGGGTTCCACCCAGGGATCGAGGGATCCACCCAGGGATCCGGGGATCCACACAGGAATCGAGGGAATCCACCCAGGGATCGAGGGATTCAGGGGCCCACCCAGGGATTGAGGGATTCAGGGACCCACCCGGGGATCAAGGGATTGAAGGATCCACCCAGGGATCAAGGGATTCAGGGATCCACCCCACCAGCTGAACGGGATTTATGGAATTCACCCCCCTCACCACGGGGGGAAAACTGAGGGGGGATTTTGGGATGAGGGGGAGGTCGGGCACTGACGGGACCCCAAGGCTGGCAGAGCTCCAGGAATGTTGGGATAACACTCTCAGGAGCTGGGATTTGGGGATAAGAGGGATTTTGGGGGGTCCTGTGCAAGGCCAGGAGTTGGGATTTTGGGCTGAGGGGGATTCTGGGGGGTCCTGTGCAGGCCCAGGAGTTGGACTGGATGATCCAGTGGGATGAGTGGGATTTTGGGGGGTCCTGTGCAGGGCCAGGAGTTGGGACTGGATGATCCAG